CAACTTACACTGTCAGCAAATGTAAAAAATACCGACTCCTTTTGAAATTTCTATGTATATATGGAAATGTATAAACATATGTACACACTTATGTGGTATGTATAAAAAATGTGCCATAGAATGGGATAATGAGCAGCAATTGGTTATCTCAGATGCATTGTGGGTAAAACTTATGTTCTAGTGTGTGAACACAGTAATTGAGTAGAATATGACAGAAGAGAGGTCTCTAGAGCATTTCCATGGATGGAAGATGAAACCACAGGTTTTGACATAAAAACACATGCTCATGCAGCATAGTCCAATTTCATAGATTCTGAAAACACCCCAGACTTGTCGTGGGAGTATTCCTAGGACCACTGGACCCCCTGCTGGTAGTGAGTGTCACTGTAGGGACGTTTCTAACAGGCCCACACTGGAGTTCCTCACTGTGTGTTTCTGGTACAGATATTCAAGGCTGTGTCCTCGGTTTGCAGATTGTTCAGTTTTAAGAAACCTTGCCTCTTAGATGTGTCCCTGGTGATTGGGAATGGGACTTGAGAGCTGAGTTTGAATCAGTGCCTCCACCACTGCACATTACTCCCATCCACTCCAGAACCTCTCCTAGAGGCTGGTGAACACAGTTTACACCATAGGCAGTTAATGAGAACCAAGAGGCAGTGCAGGGGAGAGACTGGATCTGTGAGGGTTATGAGGCCAGATCCTGACTCCTTCAGCTGCACCTGTGACAGGACACCTGAGACAAACCAATCACGATCAGTCATACATTCTATAATGACCTGCCTGGTTCCCTCTCCTGAAAATCTGCACACTTACAGCTTGGAAAGTTCACCAGGCATAGGAGCAGCACCAGGGCAGCCATGCTGTTCTGGAGGCTCCAGTGAGAAGGAGATGAGGCTGCTCATCTAGGCCTGGTCTTTCAGCCTGTGCCTGAGGCCTCTTTGCATTGGGGGAGGATTCTGAGATGATAAAAGAAGGCACAGGGCAAGTTTTATAATTATCCTTTCAGGTGTCTGACATTTGCCTATTGCATATTCGTGGAAATGAAAATGTATACTCAGAAAGTTTTTGCTAGTTGTATCTGAGTTTCTCATGTGTGATAAGAAGAAATATTATGATTGGCAGTCAACAAGTTATGGCATCTAAGTGATACGGGGACAGCACAATCACTAGTACTCATTGGCCACCAGTGTAGCCAGTTGTCAATTCCAGGTAGTTATAGAACTTGTCTCAAGAAATATGTTGCAGTTTGTTACAGAGCATCATATGTTAACACACACACACACACACACACACACACACACACACACACACACACCTAACACGTATATACAAGAGAGAGAGGGGGGGAGGGAGAGACAAGGCCAAAAAAAACAAAGAGGCCTGTAGGGGTGGACAGGAAAATCGAGCAGAGAGAAGAAGAGAGGAGAAAAAGGCGTAGATGCAGAGTGGAGAAGGGGAAAACTCTAAAAAATAAATAAATTACATACAATGGTAAATGGATGTTTGGATAAATATTAGGACGCTTCAAGCATTACTACACACCACACCTGTAGAGAGAATCCCTGTGTGAGATATGGAGAGGATGCCAAGGCACAGAGGTGTCCATCCGTGTTTGCCTCTCTGAACAGGCTCTTCAGGAACCCAGAGCTTTGTTGGTTCTCGGCGCCCCCTGCTGGTACCACATTTCCTACAGGGAGCTTTTTGTCTGAGCTCACAGAAGCCTTCACCAACTGTGCATCTTGCACAGTAATACGTGGCTGTGTCCTCAGACTTGAGATTGTTCATTTGCAGGTACAGGGCGTTCTTGGCATTGTCTCTGGAGATGGTGAATCGGTCCTTCACAGCGTCGGCATAGTTGATGGTACCACTGTTTTCATTAATATGTGCGACCCACTCCAGCCCCTTCCCTGGAGCCTGGCGAACCCAGTTCATCCAGTAGCTACTGAAGGTGAATCCAGAGGCTGCACAGGAGAGTTTCAGGGACTTTCCAGTCTGCACTAAGCCTCCTCCAGACTCCACCAGCTGTGCCTCACACTGGACACCTGCAAACACATACAATTCTGATCAGAAAACTGACACAGAAACTAATTTTTCTCTTCTTAATGTCTACATAACACATATATCTCCTATCCACTAATTACCTTTTAAAGTAAAGACAAGGAAAAACCAAATAAGCCCCAAGTCCATGGTGAGTGGCCTGTGTTCGGTGCTGATCACAGAATGGGAGGACCTGGGAATCCAGGGCTGGGCTCCTCTGCCAGAGCTGCAGGGTCAGAACTGGGCTGGTTTTCATGGGCAGAGAGAAGCCACATTTGCATGTCTTCCTGCTAGAGCAGGCTCTGGAGATGGACCTGGGAACAGGGCACTGCTCAGAGCAGTTATAAGATATCTGTCACACTGGTGACAGATACAGAAAAGAACAGAGTAAATTATCTCTGTGAACATCATTTCAATATTAAGGATTCACCATACTTTATTCACTTTCTTTTCCTTTTTATATTTTATCTAACATTTTTAATTGATTTTTATTTAAATTAAAATCAACCATATTTTATAAACCAAACCCAGTTTCCTCTCCCACCTTCCCTTCCATTTCCCCATCAGCCCCTCCATCCCACCCCCTCCATCCACTCCCGAGCGAGGGTGAATCCTCCCATGGGGGATCATCAACGTCTGTCACATCATTGGAGGCAGGACCTAGGCCCTCCCCCATGTATCTAGGGCGAGATTATTCCTCTATATGGAATGGACTTCCAAAACCCTTTCGTGCACTAGGGATAAATACTGGTCCCACTGCCAGAGGTCCCATAGACTACCCAGGCCTCCCAACTGAAACTCACATTCAGGGGCTTTGATTTGGTTTTTTGCTGGTTCCCCAGCTGTCAGATTGGGGTCCCTGAGCTCCCACTTGCTCAGGTCAGCTGTTTCTTTAGGCTTCCCCAGAATTGTCCTGACCCCTTTGCTATCACTCCTCCCTCTCTACAATTGGATTCCTGGAGTACAGCTCAGTGTTTAGCTGGGGATCTCAGCTTCTGCTTCCAAAAGCTACTGATGAAAGCTCAAGGATGTTATTTAAATAGTCTTCAATCACATTATAGGGGAAGTGCATTTAAGGTAGCCTCTCCACTATTGTTTAGATGATTAGTTGGGGCCAACTTTGTGGATCCCTGGACATTTAACTTGTGCCATATTTCTTGTTAACCCCATCATGGCTCCCTCTATTAAGGTATTCCCTTGGCTTACACTTATTTTCCAATATTGCAGTAGAACTATGTTCCCGTGGACATAGCAAAGGACCCCTTCATATCCATCCAAACACGTATTTTCTCTTTTCATTTAGTAAATAGCATTCATTCCTTTGATTCCAAGGTAAGTTTTATACTTTTGTCTTTAATATCCGTTTGTCTGCTGATACAGTTGTAAGATTCATGAAACATTTTGCAACTCCTATGATTGGTCAAGATGAAGGAGACCAATCACAGGATGGAGGGCAAAAGATGTCTGTTCATGAGGATATCACCTCTCAACTATGTATTCCCTGAGGTATCTGTTAACCCTGCTGACTCAGATAAGTGACAGACATGAGTTGTTCTTGAGAAGAAAAACAATACTGATGTCTTGGGTACTCTTTAATTAGTAGTAACCTGTTAATAACCTTTAAGAGTGAGTAATGACATTACAAGCACCGTATTTATTAGTCAAAATGAGGTATGTGTTTTGAAATGTTGACATTTGAATCCAGGCCTCCTATATACTACACAAGAACTCTTAAATTTGAATACTTCCAAGTGCTTGATGAGAAAAAGGCACAGAAATGCCTTAATTTTATTTATGTGTATATGCTTGGGCAGTTTAAGTCTCATGTTGATTATGAGCTGCCTATTTCATGTGTCAGGAAATGCACATAAATCCCCAGTCGAAGGGAGAAGTACTTCTGTGTATGTTTATCTTATTTATTGTTAAATAAAATGCTGTTTTGCCAATGAGACAGCAAGTTTGATGGGACTATGAGTCAAAGAGGATTCTGGGAAATGTAGTAGAGAAGTGGTGATCCAGGCAGGAAGTGACATAGCAAGGAGACTCATATTTCAAGAAGGAGAAACAGGAAGCATCCTTTTTTCCTCTGTTCACATCCTCCTGCAACAGGATGTGAGCCACCAGCAATGAGCGAGGCCAATAAGGCATCCAATAAGATAAGTCCTATAAAATGTATAGATTTATGATAATTAAGACTGAGCTAACAGATGAGAATCTTAGTCATTGGCCAAGCAGCATTGTACCTAAAACAAGTTTCTGTGTATTCATTTGAGCCTAACTCAGGCGGGTGGCTGGCGTAAAGCTCACACGTGGAGGTGGGGCTCAGACGGCTTTTGGCAGAAAGATTTATCATAACACCCAGTTGCTTCTCTACACTGGATGAGCAATCCTAACTTTCCTTCTCATGTTTACATCAGCTCTGTTTTACACACTACATTGAGTCAGAAGAACCTAGAGGTCTACTTGTAAATGACATCCAGGCACCACGAGAACACAAGGACCTCTTATCAAGTGTACTCTAAGAAATGGATATCAAGGAAAGTAAAATTATGGTAGGCCATCCCTTTTTTGGGCAGTGAAAGTGTGAAGATAGTTACATGAGAGGGATTATCCCAAATAAGGAGTTTATGACCGTTGACCACAGTTAATGAGAATCCATACTGGTCTACATACATTGAGAGGGTAAATTTTTATGAGTTAACCCCCACAGAAAAACTTGTCATACCACATGTTGTGGGATAATTCCTTAGGTCTTTGCCTGAAAACCATTTTTTTTTACCAAGATGCAAATGTGTAACAGGAGTCTATCAAACATGATTATTAACTCTAACCTTTCATAGGATCTTCTTTGTATAGAAGAAGGAATCCATGACTTATTCAGGTTCCTAGATCTCTTAGGAAAATGGCATTAATTTAGGGAAGCTGTGATTTCTCTATAACATGGAGAAAAATTAGCAGGATGAATTACAGATTTTTAAAGTACCCAAGCTTATTTACTGAACTTTACTGCTTTATTATCAAATCTTTCAGAACTCCTGATTCCTTTTGGAATCTCTCTGTCTCTCTCAGTCTCTGTCTCTGTCTCTGTCTCTCTCTCTTTTCCTCCCTCCTTCCCTCCCTCCCTACGTTTTGGAATGTATAAAACTGTGTGTCATTGAAAGTGATAACAACCAGCACCTGGATATCTTAGAGGGCTTGTGAGAAAAACCATGTGTTCCAGTTTGTGAATACAAAACTTGTGTACAATATGACAGTAGAGGGGCCTCTGGGGGATGTCCTTGGCTGGAAGAGGAAACCACTAGTGCTGACATAAAAACACATGCTCATGCTGAATAGTGTTGAATTTCTCAGTTCTCAAGAAACCCCATACTGATTATGGGAGCCTCTGTAGGATCTCATTGACCCCTACTGGTCTGGAGTGTCTCTGTCGGGAGTTTTTGTGCAGGCTCCCACAGGAGTTTCTTCACTGTGTTTCTGGCACAGTAATACATGGCTGTGTCCTCAGATTTCAGATTGTTCACTTTTAAGAAAAGTGGACTCTTGGACGTGTCCCTGCTGATGCTGATTCTGGATTGCAGAGCTGAATTATATGCTAGGCCTCCATCATAACCTATTCCTCCCATCCAGTCCAGATCCTTTCCTGGAGGCTGGCGGACACAGTCTACATTATAGCTGTTAATGAGAACCCAGAGAGAGTGCAGGTGAGAGACAGGGTCTAGAGGGCTCCACCAGGCCAGGTCCTTTCTCCTTCATCTGCACCAGAGACAGGACACCCGGGGACAAACAACATCACCATCAGTCATACAACCCATAATGACATGCCATGGTCCCTCTCCTGAAACCCTGAACACTAACATCTTGGAAATGTCAACAGGCAGATGAGCAGCACCAGGACAGCCATGCTGTGCTGGAGGCTCCAGTGAGAAGGAGATGGGGCTGCTCAACTAGGCCTGGGCTTTCAGCCTGAGCCTGAGGCTGCTTTGCATTGTGGGAGGATCCTGAGAGGATAAAAGGAGGCACAGGGCAAGGTTTCCATTCTTCCCTCATGTGACTGTGATTTGCCTTGTGCTTCTCAGAGAAAATGGTAACAAAATAATCAGGGATATATGCCTGCTCCTTTCTGGGTTCCCACTGCATATAAACAGGAATTTGTATGACTTACACTGTGTAAGCCTTGGGTTCAATCAGAGATCCACACTCAGCTCTGCAGAGAGAAGAGGGCACCACATCAATAGTGAATATTTCTTTAATTCCAGCACAGTGTTTGGGATGTGATTTAGTCACAAGATGAACTTCAGCCTCTTATTGTTGTGAAATAAGGATCAGGGATGTAATTAAATTCTTCTCTTCGACATTTAAGTTAATGTTATTATTGTGACTCACCTAGAAAATCCAACTTGTGAGGAAGCAACTCACAAACATTTAGGGCATGTCATTTAAATATTCATCCGAGATGAGACCCTAGACACTGATTTTCCTGTCATGTCAGCGGTCGCAGTGTATTCACCTGCCAACTTGGGGACACCACACCTGGAGACCAGTCTTGCTACCTGCTGTTTTCAATGTGTCTGTATCTCTTTCCATTTCTTTTACTTTTATGTTTCTCTTCTTTTGTCTATACAAGTCAGAGCACCCTAGCATAGCAGTTCCGTGAATATGATTATTGCATGTGTGAGGGATGGTATATAAGCTTTTTATAGCACTTCTTAAAATGCAGTAGGATGTAGCCAGGCTTCAAGGTTCTGTTAATTGAAGTAATAAAACGTTAGAGAACTCTAAGTTTTGGCCAGAAGTGGAGAGCAGGGCATGCTTGCACAATGGGAACAGTTTGCATTGTGGTCAGGATCATCACAGAGAACAAGGGATTGTGGGCTTTCCTCCATGCCTCAGAGATGTAAATCACCACAGAAGGGAAGAGAGTAGCTCTAAACAACCTGTTCAGTAGCTTCCAGACATCATCCTCCTCTTCTTTCTCAGTCGACAGCCCATACATTGCATCCCTCACTCTTGTGTGCACACTCTGTGCTGTGAGTGGCAGCCGTGGAGACAGGTCTAAACACTGGGGTGCTGCGTCCTGTGTAGGTTCTGATGGGCACCCACCACTATGTGTGCTGTGTCCTGCTTGTCCATGTTGCCCTGTTGTAGAGAAT